GCGGGAGCGAACAGGCGCTCCGGGAACACACGTCCGCGAGGAGGTTGTGCAGCCCGGCAGAGGGTGACGCCACGCGCCACGAGTGCCGCTCGCTGCAGGAGCACGCTGCCGCCTCAGGAAACGAGCACCGCCGCGCTCCAAACGGGGACGGGAGACAGGTAAACCGGGGTGAGGACGGGTCATCTTCTCCAGACACCGATAGTGTTGTGCGGCTCGGGAAATTCCTGCGCCAAGCTCGCCGCGGGGATCTAGCAAGAGCAGGAGGAGCTCAGCACGCCCACGAGGTGGAACGGAGGGCTCTGGAACGCACGCACACGCAGCATGGTCCTGCACTTGCTCCGTGCGCAGCGTGAGCAAGTCACTCACCCTCCTGGAACCCGTTCCCTTTCGGAAAAGCGGAGATAGCAGCACAAAAACTCCATGCTGCCAAGATAAGTACTGCAGACGGGAGGTCTGCAGGCAGCCTGATAAGATAGGCCCTATCAGGACCTGAGATGGAGAGATACCTTCGAATAACCTGACTCATCTTCTCCAGGGGCGTTTAGCAACACAAGCGGTGTCTGTCATGTTGCAAGCCAACCTATGTGCTATTAGGGGCTAGAGTGTTTATTCAGATGTTACTGGAGGGAAAAAATGAGAGAGAAGGAGAGTTTGAGACACAGAAATAGAGAAAATACCCGTTTCACCTTCTCCTTCCCCCATAAGGACCTGAGACATCATGGGGAGAGGCTGAGGCATCACCTGGCTCCTGCAGGATCCGTGACAGACCCAGCCACGAGTAAAGCTGAAGCCTGTTTGTGCTCGTGCAGAATAATAAATTAGGCACATTGGAAACAACAAACATTAGCTTATTCACGCAGCAAATGGATTATATATAAAAAAAGCTAATGCTCTTAGCAGCACAATCTGTTTCCTAAGGTGCCGGGGTGCCCCGTGAACAGCAAACCCGCCGCTGTGCTCGGAGCAGGCCCCGTTTCCCAGCGCGTCCCATCCCGTGGGGCGGCTGCTGCTCTCGTCCTCCCGGGGCTCTCCCAGAACCCGGCCCGAGAGCCGCCAGCCGCCCTGGGCTCGCAGGCGCCGCACGCAGGGAGGCCGCCCCGGCCTGTCCCTGCGGCCCCGGGAAGCCAGGCTGAGCAGACCCGCGGGCCTGCGGTGCGACCGCGTAGGAGCCCTGGCCTGGCCAGCACAGCAGAGAACGAAGGGGACAGCAAGAGGGCCAGGAGGGACGGGCCTAACCCATTTATTCACCACATGTTCTAGGTGGGCACCACCCAGCCTCACGAGCCACCTCTGCGCCCCCCGAAGGCAGAGCCGTCCCTGCCTGCGAGGCTCGGGCAGCTCTGCGGCCTGCTCCCATTCCCAGGGGGACAGCGGCAGCAGGAGCACACGCGGGCCCCAGCCTCAGATTGGCGCCTTCAGCCTAAGGCCGCCCTTCCTTCCGGATTAGTTCACACGAGATTGCACTTAGCTATCTTCGGTTTCTCGAGGTATAGTAAGCACCTCCATTAACATGTAATTTATAGTATCCATGTTTAGACAAGGTGTTTGAAGCCTGGAAGCTCTTCACTTGGCTGAACTCAGCATGGACTGCTGCACCCTGCTCCTCGTCAGAGCGGGTCATGGAGAGGCCTGGGAAGCGCTCCCGGAGCAGAACCTGGTGCCCGATGCCGCTAACCCGAACTCCGGGTCCCACATAAGCACTCACCATCACGGCACGGCCCTGCTCGCTCCCACACAGCCTCGGCAGGAACCAAACAGGCAGGAGGCGGCCGGCACGAGACGGGCAAGGCGACCTTGTAAACGGTGACCAAAAGTTCCAGTGAGGTAGGGAAAAGGCAGCTCGATTCCAGAGATCTTTTCAGGAAAACTCTGGGCATTACAGACGGTGAAGATGATGCAGGGGTTACTGAAGTTGCCACGTTTTAGCAAGTGATTTAAGAAAGGCAAAAGGAAGACCACGATGACCCTGCACCAATGAATGTGCAATCATCTAAGCTGCGACGGGGAGGCTGTTTGCTGAGAGCAGGATGGATGATGGAACCATTTCAGTAGAGAGATCGGAGTGCTTAAGACAGACTAATGTAATAACTAGTAATTATAGGATAAAGTTGAGCAAAGGAGTGTTTGAGCTGCATATCAAGAAGTAATCCATGCTGGAGATTACTCAGAGATAATCTCCCAGAAGAGGTGTTGGAAGTCACGTTGGTTAAGGAATTTAAAACCATTCCTGACAATGAATACTGAGGAATCAGCACTGTACCAGCAAGGAGATATTAAGTTATTTGGGATCTTCTCTCCCTACTGCTTATGAATATGAAGATCTGAATCTCTAAAATTAATTTCGGTCCCTGTTTATGATTCACACCCTTGTGTGATGGAAGGGATTTGTAAGAAGAGGTAACCAGGAGGATGGAGCTGTGGTAGCTACTTTGGTGGGAAGGCAGCACAGTGTACAAACTGCATTTGAGCAAGATTATTCAGCCTGTGTATTTCTTTTAAAAAGAAGTGTTTGGAAAAATGAGGAAGCACATGCTGAAAGGCACCCGAGCTGACGAAGAAAAAGACCATAAGAAAAACTGCTGCTCTAGCCAGGAAAGTAACTGATTTCAAGAAATGGCAACCTTCCAATTCAGCCTTGCACCACCACGAACAACCACCCGGTTATCCCTATGAGGTGTAAACCAAGAGCCCTGTACTCACGTACGTGCTCTTCTGCCCTGGGGCAGTCGCCTGGGCACTGTCCTGCACCAACGCGAAGGAGAAAAGAGGACTCCATGACCAGCGTTTTCTTGGGCATGAACCACTTCTAATTGCGGGTAAAGACGTGAACAGCAATCACAGATTTCATGGCAAGGTCTTCACGAGATCCATTTAGACACTAATTTCTGAATTAGTACTTAGCCCAACGTTCTTCTAACACCTTAAACCGCCACCCTGCTCTGCAGTTAAACCCTGAAATGGTATAGATTTTACACGTAGAACATCCACAGTGGCAGCTGATTAGCCAGATGAGTTTTCAGCAGCGTCTCCGGAGCCGAGACGCCCCACGAGCTTCTTGGGCATGAACCACTTTTAATTGCGGGTAAAGACGTGAACAGCAATCACAGATTTCATGGCAAGGTCTTCATGAGATCCATTTAGACACTAATTTCTGAATTAGTACTTAGCCCAACGTACTTCTAACACCTTAAACCGCTGCCTTGCTCTGCAGTTAAACCTGCCCTGCTCTGCAGCCACGGCAAGGGGCAGCAGCGCCCAGAGACAGAATGAAAAAGAGAAATCTCTGCACATTCAGTGCTAAAATAGAACTATAAAAGAAAAGCTTTTTAGAGAAATCTCGCATTTATCGGTCCCTTCTGTTCACCTATTCCTTTCAGAGATAAAGTATTTGACAATGGCTCCCAGAAATAGTCAATTTAATGCCATAATGAAATGTCTGCCTGTTTTCTTGCAGCACCCTGTAATTTCTCAAGGTTGTCTGTAAATGATCACTCTGGACAATGCTTAAGGTTTACAAATATCTTAATTGGACTGCTAATTATCTCACAGAAAGCATCTTTCATTATGCAAAGTGATGGAGCGGGGATTTTAACAAACATTTAGAACTAAAGCACAGATCTCTCTTATGCCTCCTCAAAGCAAGGACGGGTTGAGCAGAGGACACATCCTCCACGTGCAGATCAAGGCCACACGCTCTAATACCTCAGCCTGGCCTTTTAGTGAAGTTGTTATTTAATAGATCGCGATGAGTTTATGACTCTCGTCACACAGTAGGGAGGATGCACGGCCCAATATACATTTGTTCTTCACATTTCTTCTTTCCTGCACAGAAACCAGTGGGGACAGTAGAAGCGACTCTCTGAGCAGGAAAGGGACACGGCTACCTCCACCCCCAGACCACGTTATTTCTTCCATCAGACCCATCAAATTTCCAATGAATGAGAGCCACTGAATGCCACAAAATGAACCCCCAAGGCGAGCGGAGCCCGCAGCCGCACGCTGCCCCGGGGAGGCAGGAGGGAGCAGGCCAGACGCCACGGACGCGGCGCCCCGTCCTGCGCCGGCGCCGAGCGCAGGAGATGGAGACGGTGGGAGGCCCCACGCTGACCACGGCGCGGCAAGCAGGCGCCCTAGGCACTGTTGTTTCCTGCTTGGAATATATTCAGGGCAGAGAAAAAGATCACATGCAAAGACTAACATGCTTTTCTGATCCAATTCTATTTTCTGGTTCCGCAAGCGTATTTTTCTGTTTTTTGTTGCTGTCTTAACAGCTCTTACCCTCCAAGTCTCCCCACCACCACTCGGGACATCCATCCTGCCTTTGCACAATCTTTGTCCCGTGTTGCTTTATGGATGGCAGGGCTCCTGCAGGGCAAAGCTGCAGTATTTGAGTCTTCATTTCCACTCTTCACTGACCTACTTTACTGAGATACGGCAGGGAGAGAGCCAGGGGATTACTGCAGGTTTATTTATGAAAGGGACACAAGACATAAATTTGTGCCTCTCCCGATAAGAGTATAAAACATCAAGGGAAACACATTCCCACTAACCGAGTCAAGCACAAGGTGTGCCGAGGTGCTGGCGCGTTCCCTCAGACCCTCGACCATCGCCTTCCAGCCTGGTCACACCGGATCACGCTGCACACTGCTGAGTTCCTCCCCGCTTTCTGTTTCACTCGAGTGTCACGGGACAGTGAGTTTAAGAGCTGACATAATTCATCACTGCCTGCAGCAGTTGCGAAAAGCTTACAGGTACGGCCAGCCAACGGGTGCTTCCAATAAATCCCATCAACTTCCCAAATGCTTCCCCACGAGGAAGGGTAATAGAGCGGTTACTTTTTGCCAGGCAGGAGACGCATGAGCGCCCAACACATCACCGTCCCTTGCACCCTGGCAAGAAGGAGATGCTGCGTGTGCACGCGCCCGCCATCCATCATGCAAACTCCGTACTTCCCATGGGATAAGCCTTGGAGTTACTCAGTTCTCTGGCTGTTTGCAAGGTGTGCATTCGTATGCTTTTCCAGGTAGAACCCCAGAGCTGGGCTGGTCCCCTACATGTGAATCTGCTGGTCAGCATTTCTACCACTACAGTCTTGCTGCGAAGGAAGCTCGGGAGGTCTCTGGGCCACCCTCTGCTCCAGGCAGTGCCAGCTCGGAGGTTCCTCCGGCGTTATCCCGGCTGGCTCCAAAACGCTCCACGACGGAGACCCCGCAGCTCCCCTGGGCAAGCGGGGCCACGCTGGGCTGTCCTCATGGGGGAGAGGTTCCTCCTCGTTGTCCTCTGGAGCGCTCATGAGCGTCAGCGTGTGCCACTTGTCTCCTCACGTCAGCTTAGGCCGTTTGCCTCCCATCTCCTCCCATCTCTTCCCATTCCACGAGAGCCTGGCTCCGGCCCTCCCGACGGCTCCACCACGGCCCACTGAAGCTGCCTCTTCTCCATGCCCAACAAGTCGCCTTCACTGGCAAAGCACTTGCAGTCTGAAATCCCACTAGGAAAAGCCCCCCCAGATCTCTCTATACTTCTTTGAAGGGCTCTCGTGGAGTATTTTTGAAAAGTCTGAAAAACTCTGCAACATCAGTGCAGATTTTCAGAGTTATCCGATAGTAAAAATAAACACTTCTGCTTGATGCTTATCATAAAATTCAGAGAAAGAAGAAAACTATCTCAAGTCTCCGAATGATCAGACAAATTAAAAATAAATAGTAGACAATAAACAAAAATAAATGGTAAATAATAAACAAATAATTAACCAGGCTAACTGCGATGCCTGTTTTCCGCCTACGGCTCCAGGCCGGCACCGCGCCGCTGCGCACGCACAGGAGCCTGCGCCAAGGGCCTCGCACGTGTGTGAGCAGTGTTCCCGTCTCGTCCTTGGTGTTTGAGCAGCGTTCCTGTTGTCCTTGGTGTTTGAGCAGCATTCCTGTCTCCTCCTTGGTGTTTGTGCAGCATTCCCGTCTCGTCCTTGGTGTTTGAGCAGCATTCCTATCTCGTCCTTGGCGTTTGAGCAGCGTTCCTGTCTCATCCTTTGTGTTTGAGCAGCATTCCCGTCTCGTCCTTGGTCTTCATCACTGGAGGCAGGCAGGGCAGGCTGGCACCACTTGCTCCCAGTAGATCCATGCTGTTGGCTCCTGTTCCCTGTTGGTCATTCGCACGGATGGACGGGGCTTCCAAGGGAACACGCTCCATGGACTCCCATGACTCGCGTGGTGAGGACTGGCCTGTAGTTCCCAGAATCGCCTTCTTGTTTGCTTGTTTGGCAGGTTTGCTTTGGGGCAAACGCAAAAAAAATGCAAAAAATTGCATTTTTTCCAGATCATTTTGGACCCCCTTGGATCACTGTGACCTTTGAAAGGTAAAACGGTGGCCTTGCAGAGACTGCTCAGCTCCCTTGGTGCTCTTGGGTGCTTCCTCTCCATTCTTGTGGACTCAAACAGGTCTGTTTTGCTGAGGTGGTCCCTAACTCACCCCCTGGAAGTTGGAACAGCACACACCATCCCGGCCTTGCTTCCCAGCCCCTTGTCTGGTCCAGGGCCATGTTCCCCGTCACACACAACACCCTGACGAAGGCCCTGCAGAGGGTAAGGGCTCCAGAAACACTAGAGGGAACGCGGAGCTGGATCTGCGAGCGGACACTCCTGCAGCAGAGGCTCCGCGCCGGGAGCGCAGGGGCCGCGACGTGCAGGGCCCCCTCCCAGCCTGCACACACGCACGGTGGAGGTTTTGCCGTTGGGCACGAGCCCGGCAGCATCTAAACTGAGCCCATGCCCCGCAGCTTGGCATGGAGCTGACGCACTGGCTCCAACGAGCACCACGAGCGCCGCGCCGGGACGCGCACGACACGCAGGACACGTCGAAGGGGCAGCGCTGCCTGCGACCTGCCTTCCCCTCTTACAAAAACGCTCTTGTTCTGGGCTGTCTGCCCTCTAAATGCCAACGTCTCACCCCAAATGTCTCACCCAGCGAAGAGCAAGCACAAGCGAGCGCGAACCCGGCGCCGCGGAAAGCAGCTGCTCCCTGGCAGCACCCACGGGCTGCTCGGAACCAAACGCGTTCTTAGCACAGAAACCAGCAGCAACCCTCCTCTTGGGTGCACGAACTTCTGGCAGGAAAAAAAATCTGCATTCAAAATATATTTTCTGGTGTATTTAAAATATATATATATATAAAACCAGTTTTAGTAGGACACAGTTGAGTGGAAAGTGATTTTTTTAAGGCATGAGAAAAAAGATCATTGATTTTTCTTGGGTATACAGGCATCGCTTTGGAAACAAAACAAAAATGAAATTTTGTAAGAAAACAAATATTGGATAACAGATGCAAACAAAATGCCTTCTGTTGAAAGACATGCTTTTATACTAATCTATGGGCTTTTACTGCTCCGGGATTACAGCAGAAACACAGATTGCCTCAGTTATTAAAACCCACTACTGGGGGGAAAAGTGTATGGAATCTATTGGTCACAAACCAGCTATTCGAAAAGAGCTAAAGAAAAGCAGGCAAGCACTCCTGAGTTCCTATTCAGAGCCACAACAAGACATTGATTATCGGTCAAAATAGCAGCTAGGATTTCACTTCGTCAAAGGGTGACATCCCTGTCGCTGACGTGGAAACAAGCAGGGCCACGCACGGAGCTCTGCACGGTGAGCAAACCGCTTGCTCTGCAACGCCAGCTCCGGGCTCCTCCCTGCACAGAGAAACAGCGGGATGGCCCTGCTGGATTCACACGAACCCTTCCCACATCCTGGGAATTCCAGCAAACGCTTTACTCTTGATTTTCCATGCCCGGAAGTTCAAAACAAAGGCCAAGTCCTTTTAGCCCTTTCTAGATCCGACAGCTTTTCTGAGACTGCAGATGGGTCTACCTGGCTAAACCTGGACACTGGCCGCCTTTGGGACAGAGCATCACGTGTCGCCTGCTCGGGCTCCTGCGCTGCAACGAGGCGGGCTCAGGAGCGGATCCGGGTGCTGAGTGCCATGGGACATCCCCTGCATTTCCGCACGCACATCCCTCTCTTTCGGGAGCCAAGGAAAGCCGCAGCCTGGCTACAGAGAAGCAAGGCCGGCAGCAAGCAAGCCTCCTTACCTGTGCTGCTGGAGATGTTGACATCGATGCTGATGTCCGATATCCCACCTCCTTTCAGAGACGCGACGCACGTGTACGTGCCAAAGTCAGTGAATTTCAAGTCAATGATGTCCAGGTTCGTGGTGCCAGGGGAAACGTCGGGGTCGGTCTGCGTGATGACCATCCTCTCGGAGCTCCGCAAGGGCCGCCCGTTCTTGAACCAGCTGAACGTCAGCTCCTCCGAAGGGACGGCCTCCACCTGGCAGGAGATCTTCACCTCGCGCCCGATCTGGATGTTGTCGTCTTTGTGATACGGGTCGGGAGTGATCCAAAAGCGACCCTTTTTTAAGGCTGAAACATGCAAAGAAACCCAAGTTTAGTCTAAGAAAGCAGCAACACGGTATCTTTAGACCCTCTCTTTGCAAGGAGTAATGGACACGCTTGGCTTTATGTCTACAGATAACACTTGCGAAGCCACAGAGACATCCCATGTCACACACACGGGTTAATTCCTTGCGGGATCAGATCCTAATGAAACATCATCACGTGGCAGACACTGCTAAAGCACCTGTCACTTACACAACGAAACACCGGGTTTAAATTAGGCTAAGCTGCCGACAGCTGAAGAATAACCAACATAATCTGCGAATCTTCAGTGTTTGCCCTCCCTCTCTCGAGGCGTTTTCAAGCTCTTCCCTCGCTCTGATGCTGTCAGAGCACTCAGAGAAGAGGAAACAAAGACCTCAATCAAACGCCCCAGCACCCGTGGGGCGCTGCGCAGGGCTGGCCCACCAAGGAGGTCTAGCATGGGCTACCTGCGGGCACCGCAAAACTTCCTTTGGTCAGGAACCAGCCACTTGGCTTAGAGAACAGGAGGGTAGTTCCTTGCGGTGTGCTGGCTGCAAAGGGTTCTCTTTGGGGAGCTGGAATACGGATACGGTTTTCTGGGTGTTCCAGAAAACAAGTGTCTGATGAGTTCTAAGAACATATTGTGGATCTTGAAAATTTCCTGAACTTTATTAAGATTAAATCTGCACCAAAATGTTCTGGTCTTTATTTAGTATCTCTCTCTCCCCGTTAAAAGCTGCAGTTGGTTCCTTCCCAAGCAGAATTGAAACCTGTTTTAACGCAAGAGAATGAACTCTACACTGTGCTCCATAAAGTGTCACAGTATGTAACTTTGAAACACAAACTGGACTTGTTGGTAGAGAACAAGCAATGCCCGGATACACAAAACCTGTGCATTTATTATATTAATACTTTGCATAAAGGAAGAAAATAATCCATAATAGGCAAGTGTAAAAGTGCATTTCGGCCAGAACTGTTTGCTAAAAACCTCAGGAAGATACTTTTATTTCTGAACATCTTCTGCATGGCTTTGAGTGCTCCTTTCTGCAGTTTCTCCTTCCTCTGAAGGAACAGCCCACATAAGTGCACCAGGACCACAGAGCCTGGGTTAGACACGGTGGATAAAAGGGAAGGAAGTCGGGGAAGCTGCAGCACGGAGGGGGCCGTGTCTCAGAGCTGTGTCAACTATGATGTGGTCACATGAACACCGACGATTCCCATCGGTGGATAAAAGGGAAGGAAGTCGGGGGGAGCCGCAGCACGGAGGGGGCCGTGTCTCGGGGCCGTGTCAACTATGATGTGGTCACAAAGACGATTCCCAACCTCAGGCTCCTCACAAAGCCCTGCACTGTCTCTGCCCTCCCTCACTAATTACATTGTGGTAATAAATTGCATTTCAGTATCTCAACTAGGAGGTATTTACATTCATCAGGTAAAGCTGTATCTTCCCATCCCCACTGTGATCAACCCAAAACGCTCCTCTAATCCGTCAAAATGTTCGCATCTTGCAAGTGCACACGTCATGCTACACGAGCTGCACCGAACCCCGCGGTTGCACAGTCCAGCTGCTGCACAACTTACTTGCAGGCTCTGGCACAGCACTTGGTGGCTGCTGCTGGGCGCTGGGGACCGCCTGGATGTGTTGGTGTCTGTGCAGCCCGCAGCAACGGCAGCACCACGTAGAACTGCGCAAACTACGGACTGTAACCTTGACCGAGCAACTGGATTCCACAGGAGCTTTGACCTGTGTGCATCAAGCTGAAGGGGCTTCAGCTAATTCTGATTGTTCTCCTTAATGTGTTGCTAAGGCTAGAGGGAGATTTTCTTTTCTGCTATTCCCAATGAAGAGAACACCACCTGCCAACGAGCCCAGTGGAAAGGCAGACCTGCATGGGTTTGGAAGCACATCCGGGGCGTTCCTTGAGCTCAGCATCCAGCGTACTACTTGCTTCTGAGCGTCCCAGCACTGCCACTCCATCACCTAAAGGTCAATAACCAAATACCCGGCCCCTGCTCCCACGATGCGGTGCCACAGCTGGCAAGGCAAAGCGGCAGCGCGTCCCGAGCGTTCGGCGTTCCCGACCCCGGCAGCGCCTCTCCCTTGCATGCACACACTGCTGGGAAAGGCTCTTGACTTTATTTTTAACACCGCTGGCTTGCAGAGAAACAGCAAGAAAAGGACTATTGCTCTGAACCCAAGTTCGGCACACTGAATGATGGGCCCTCCCATGACTTCTGTGTACTTTGGATTAAGCCCTTTGCCTCGGCTTCTACTCCACATCAAAGGATAATAAGACACAAAAAGCACCATGGGGAAAGCTTGTTTGGAAAGTGAGTTGCAAAAACCAGCTTCATCCTCTAGAAGCTCCAGTCTGTTACTGCAGACCCTGGTTGCTTGCTTTAAAAGACTGAGAATCAACTCTGCAGGTCACTGCTGTGATCTTTTGGTACAAAGATGATTACTGTGATGATGCAGGGGTCCTTGAAAATACGAGGCAGGCAGTGGGTAAAGAAAGCTAACGCTTATCATCAGCTCTTGCTTCAGTCACACCGGGTGCCTCATCTCCTTCGAGCCTCACAGATGGGAAAAGCAATCCTGCCTTCCCAAGAGTGTAATTCAATAGATTCAAAGACTTCACAGAGTCACAGAGTGCTGAAGGTTGGAAGGGACCTCTCGAGGTCACCTAGTCCAACCCCTGCACACGCAGGGTCACCTAGAGCACGTGGCACAGGACTGCGTCCAAGCGGGTTTGAAAATCTCCAGAGAAGGAGACTCCACAACCTCTCTGGGCAGCCTGTTCCAGGGCTCTGGCACCCTCACTGGGAAGAAATTTTTCCTTAAGTTCCTGTGGAACTTTTGGTGTTTCAGTTT